ATGATTATGGTTTGAAGAACTTCACAAAGAAAGACTCCGTAGATAAGTAATTTTGCAGCCTTCCTGTCTTTGGGAAAGGCCAGATAGTAGACGTCTGGAAATGTCGAGTCAGGAGGGCTTCTTTTATCTATGTGAGCAAATGAACATACAAACTTGAACGCATAGCACTCCGAGGAGTCCCCAGTTCACGACACACGAGATCAACTGTCGGACGACACTTTAACACGAATAAACGAAAAGAGAGAGTTTCAGTCCAACCAATGCACCAGCTCTGGAAAAATCGCGTTAGATGCTAGCATTTACCGTTCAAAAAGTACTCACAAAGAAGAGATGTCGTCTGGAGTAGTATCGGCCATGTGTAGCGAAACGAAGGGAGTAAACGAGAGTGGGTTATATGGAGTTAAATAAACTGGTAGAAATTAATACATCTTGATGATCAACCCCAGACGGCGGTACTGGCCAAGATAAGTGAGCTCTTTGGCGTTTACTGCGGCAAATAAACAGGCAAGCCTCTCCTGTTAAATTAAATGTTGGGCAGGATGAACGTGCGTCCGGTAAAGACGAGCAGAGCGTCTATGTCGAAAAGTGGGCGATGCCGGAAAATAGCTAGATGTGCCGTGACCTGCTTAATACCAAAAGAAGCATATCAGCTATCTGAATGAGCCAAATCATGAAAATGTAAGCAATAGAGTGTCACATAAACGAGGTCCAATCAACCAGGTTTATAAAGAAAGCAACCCTTGTTCATCGCAGTGACTCACCATGACAATCTTCAACATCGATGTAGTCGGTTAAAGTCCCTTAATCAAATGTATGGAAGTCGTTCAATCCGAGGCTTGCCCACGGTGTAGACAGTCAGCCAATGTCGGCGCGCACGTTCATGAGTTGGCCGTCGCAGGCATTCTAAAAATAGGCAGCGTCAAACCTTATAAGCATTGAATGGGTAGATCCTGGAGTTTACGAGAGCGACGGATGTCATCAGTACGGTGCTATAGATGGTATGAGAGCGCATTACCGCTAGATCTGACGTTCCTATCATCTCTTGTTGTCGGATGAAATTACTTTAGTGATGATAGTGCAAGAAATAGGCCAGCGTAAGATGATAAGGTGAGATATGCGAGCTGCAGCCAATAGGCAGGACATCGTGCGCATCTCTTCTCATCTGCTAATACAAATCCACAGTCACTTCGGACCTCGTTGTATACGCCGGGAGCAAAGACCAAAACCATCTTGCATCATAGAATTCGTTAATCAGCGCTAGATCCTGTCATCTTGCCAAAGTAGACCGTTCTCCGTTGCTTGACAGATTGCTACTCTGTATAGCAAAAGAATAAAGTCCTTCCGCGGTAGTAGTATGTCTTGAATTGTGTTTCGCCCGAAGAGATCGAAAACCTCTCTATGGCCCAATTCTTAGGTCTTGTGAGTAGAATAGAACCACTGTGGAGCTACTAATACACTTGTTATGCTGGGATAGGTATGTTTCATTGTCCATGTTCGTCAAACCACTGCCACGATCTAGTTAATTATAATCGAAGCAGGAGATACGCAGTAGCACTTACTTGCTTCAAGAACTTCGAAGAGTCCTTTGGATACCTTTTCTGCGTCTCGTAATCCACATAGGTCACGCCGAACCGCGTCCGATACCCGTCTGCCCACTCAAAGTTGTCTAAGAGACCTGCAAGCACAGAAATTGAGAATTGAGAACAGCAGCGGGAGAAACCGGGATACGATACGTACTCCAAGCAAAATAAGCGCGAATGTCGATTCCGTCGACGTTCACAGCCTCGAGAAGGGCTTGAGTGTACTCTCGGAAATATTCCACGCGGTCTATATCGTGAACAGCCTGTTCTGGTGCCTGATCGACGTCACCTTTGGCAGCAAACCCATTCTCTGTTATGCTACAAGGGTATAAAACACAGATTAGGAGGAGAATTTCGACTGACAGAAGTAGGTAAACATACTAGATGGGCTTATTGTATGTCTATAGAGAGCAGGCGTCAGCTGTTGATCCTCCACAAATCATCATACCGAGACGGACCTTCCGGAGATAGTTCAAAAGCTCCATACAAGTTGAGCGCCTTCAGCGTTTGGAACAATGAAGGCACTTACCGATCTGAAGCCGGGAGCATCTGTGCCACCATCGACCATGTGTTAGCTCAAGACAAGGACAATAGAAGAGTATATTCGTACAGGTTTGGAGCCACGGAACGATTGCTATCGCCACCGTTATCGATTAACAAATTCGTTGTATTCCAACAAAAGAAACTAACCTTGGGTGCCTAGTTGAATCCCATCGGACCGAGTGAACGTTGTGGTAACTTGGCCATTGAACTCGTTTGTACCGCCTGCCTCTATTTATGAGAGCCACCAAGTTAACATTCTGGAAAGAAGAAGAAGCTCAGGTACATACTGACGATGTTGCTGGTGTAGGTGTTCAAGCCAAAGAAGTCAGACGAGCCTTTGATGACAGCCACCTCTTCCGGTGTAAACTCTGGAAGTCGGTCTCCAAGCATGGCTTTCAGAGAAGCGGGGTAGTGACCTTTGTATATGGGGTCTGCGAACCATCCTTGAAGTCGAATCAGCATTGCTATGCCTCCCGGACTACGGTGATGGACAAACCGAGACGAGTATCGAGCGCTCGCTGGGCAGCATCGACATCTACAGCGTACATTCGGTCATTTGTTCGAGGTAGACGGAGAACGACTAAGACGCACTTTCAGGAGAATCGTCGTAAGGGATGTACCACAATGAATCAAGAGTAATACCAATAACACCACCCTGTGTCGGTTGGAATTTGTCTCGATAGAGCTTGACCGCGTACGCATGCGTAAGAATGACATGATGACCAGCACTACCAACCGCAATCCATTACGCATCGTTCAGGCAAAAAAAAACATAGGCATACATCCAAGGCTCGGTGCTAGAATCGCCTTCAGCTGAACGGTCGCGGTTGCTAGAACGTCCAGGTGCGAAGACCCCATGGCCGTAGCCGAGGGCGGAAATGCACCATGGCTCGTTCTGCGTGATCCAGTGCTTCACGACATCACCGAACGCTTCGAAGCAGACCTGAGAAATGGTAGATAAGAATAAGAACGGCCGAAGCCGCACCTAGACTTACTCGTGCATAGTGGACGTAGTCGTCGACAATTCTCTTGTTCAACCACCCACCATAACGATCTTGGAGAGCTTGTGGGAGGTCCCAATGGAACAATGTCTGGATTGTATGCGATCAGTGCTTTAGTAGGCAGAGGGATATGCTAATACTCACGATAGCAGGCGTGATCCCGAACTTCAACAGCTCTTCAATGATACCCCGATAGAACTTAATGCCTTCCTGATTGACTGGGTCGCGTTCACCTTCCTTTGGCGTGGGCCCGTTAAAGTCGATAATGCGAGACCAGGACAAAGAGAAACGGTAAGCATTGCCACCGTACGAGTTGACCAGGGCTATATCTTCTTTCCAGCGATTGTAAGAGTCGGTCGCAACATCTCCTGAGGAGCCGTCGGCTATGTTTTTCTTCGATGGGGCCTGGTGAGTAAAAGTGTCCCAAATGGATGGCGTTCGTCCACCAGCACTCGGGGAACCTTCGATCTGGTATGCCGCTAGTATGCAGACGATGGTCAGAACATGCAGAACGGAATGAAGTCCAGCATACCTGTAGCATAACCAAAGAGGAAATCTTTGGGAAGTTTTGAATTTTCTGTTGAGGTCATAGTAAGAGTAGCGAGCACTAAGTCGAGAATCAACCGCGTCTCTTGCGACATTATGTCCTCATCGTGCTTATATTAAAAACACTCTCCGAAGATTCGCCGTACGACGAGGAAAGTGATCACTTGAGTCCTACTTGAGAGACTCCGATCCAGAAGTGGTCATATGAAGTTTCCGTCGAAGTCTCGGCGTGTTCGATTTTCCCAAAGGCCTGTGGAAGGTTGCTGCACTCGGCGAGGCGGCACCATACATGCGGCTGAGTTTCAATATCAAGGTAGTAAGCAAAGGAAAGACAGGTTAAACAAATATTATGAAGAGACACATCACTTTTTGTGACGGGACGTGCCTTCAACATACTTGCATTCAAAGAATCCTTGCGAATATTTGTTGCGTGACGAGGTCTAGTTCCAGCATATACAAATTCTCCGCTCTGCAGGCGGTTTCTGAACTGGGTGGGCGGCAGCATGCTGTTAGTATACGATAAGTATACTAGGTTCACCTTGGAGATAACTTTCAGTGAAACAAACGACAGCCTGAGTAACCGCCACGAATAGATTTGAATCATAGTTTGAAATTTGATATTCAGATAGTATGAGGAATTTAGTTAGATATGATACTAGCGGCTTGTTTGGTAATGGTGGATGGAGAATGACCAGGTGAACTGAGAAGAACGGCGTCAAGCTGTGTCAAGTTGAACGTTGAATTCGGAAATCGAAATCGAAATCAAATTACGCCATCCATTCACGTGATCCAGTTGTGTCATACTCTTCACTGCTCTAGCGTTCAGTCTGTGCTGTTGGAATTTCCGGAACTGCTCGGTGCCCTTGCATTGTTGATCCTACATTTAATAATTAATGATATGTTCAGCTCAGTATATTGACTGAGGAGAATATATCTGCCATAATTACAGGATCTGATCTATACATCTTTCCACTCAGCTTGTAGGTTAGACTCCTAAGCAATTTGAGTACTCATAAGCTCCTCAGCAGGACAGTAATGAATAACATACGTATATGATAACATTCACTGATAGGTAATATTTTGTTTCAACCTCAGTACACCATTCGAGGCTGTCTATAAATAGGTCATCTCACTGGCATTTTTCTTTAGTCCGGACTGTATATCTACTAGTACGTTGTATTATGTATGACCTTAGGTAGAACCAGTAGGGTAATTAACGGTTCTTGAATATTCGTAGTTTCCCCATTCTTACACGGTCCTCGTGCTTCTTAAAAATGTATGTATTTACGCATAAGTATTGATAAAGCATACGAGTCTACTGTGAAATATCGGTTCTGTAGTGTAGTGGTTATCACTCGAGATTTTGAGACATCACGTGATTGGTTATTGCCATCTTCGATTTCTCGTAACCCCGGTTCGAACCCGGGCAGGACCTATAAGCAAAAATTGGTAGATTTGTTTTTGTAGGAGAATCATGTAATTTGACTAAGAAAAAGAAATTTTATAAAATTTGGTACTTATTCTACGTACTGTCCAATCTTACGGACTTTGAGAGCTACCATGAAATCATTATCATAACAGGTACATCCAATGGTTGTATAGTGTAGTGGTTATCACCCGAGATTCTGATGAATAGTTTGAGTTCTCGTGACCCCGGTTCGATCCCGGGTACGACCTTTCTAAATGGATCAGTGCCTTTTTTTTCTTGTATTCCGTTGCTACACGGGAAACGACAAGACTTACGAGTCACAATTAACCAAAACTGCAGAATGGTGCCTTACCAACCCAGAAGATTTGATTTTAGTCAATTGCTAAACATCTCGTACAAGTTGGTGCGCTTAACTTTGCACTTTTATATGATCATTTGCGGTATTTATTTAACATTGATTCCCTTCTTTGTACCCCCAATACCAACTATACAGGCATGGTGGGCATGAGCATTGCTTGCTGACTATTCGTTAAGCAAGACCGGAGGTTTGAAGATTGAAGAAGTATTACATACCCCACCCACCACACATCATGATTTTGCCTTCTGAGCGAACTTAAGTTTCTGTTAACAGGCTCGTAGGTCTAAGATAACCCATTCGATTCAAGCCAAGATGTTAAACATTTAATAACATCGTATGAGGTCGTTCGCGAGGTAGGCTGCAGCCTACCTGAAATTGACAAAGAGGCTCGTTTTGAATCCACACCAGCTGTTTTTCGCTCGTTCTATTGTTATAATTATCCATTTAACAATATCAATGACGTGACTAGTAGGTATGAATACGACTACGAGATACATTACACGCAGGAAGGAACGAAATGTAGCATCCATTGAAAAGAATCGGGGAGAGAGTGCTGATTCAATTGCTGTAACAGTCGCCGCGGATATTCACCTCCAAATGAACGCCTGCTGTGTACCAGGCTATTCTCGAGTTACGCGGACCATTAAGCAAAAGAGCATCCACACCAATTTAAGCCCCTACAACCCAGAAGGTACAGCTAGTCTCATGTACTTGAACGTACTAGCTCTCAAGGCCTACGAATTTATCTGGGGACGTTGAGAGTCGAGTGTGGACATGCACTATTTGGAGGAGCTGGTTCTGCAGACAGGACTAAAGGGAGAGTTCTTTCCATAATCTATTTCGCCTTCGTAAACGCAGGCACAGTCATATTCTTCCACTGATTCCACTCCTCCCAATTCTTCTCCGCAAAATCATGAACAGCACTCCAATCCTTGCAAACATGTGTAACAGCCAGCCCCTCACCCACATCCTGACTCCCCAGTACAAGTTCCGGCTCCAAAGTCATATCCGCGCTGCAAAGAATCGTCTGTCGTAGATAATTCAAGCAATGATCAGCATGTGGGACCTGGTCTCTCTTCCCCAGCGGGTCAGCACCACCCATCATCGCGCGACGCGAATGGTGCATCCAATCAGGTCCGTGGATAATTGCTTGCCGAAGACTGTCAAGGCAGTGGAGTTGGTGGTACATTGCAATACCGAAGAAACGCTTGTTAGGACCTAGGCGGAGGAAACCGAGCTGGCCGGGGTACATGGAGAGGTATTCGGCGTCGGAAGACGGGGCGTTGAGTGCGTAGTGGTGAGAGTTTTCTATTGTAAGCGCTGCTTGGGGGAGGTCAAGGGGTAGGGCGTTGGGGTAGTCGCCTTCTAGCCATGCTGGAGTTGATTGTTAGCTTAGTGGGAAGAAGGATGGGATGAGAGACGCACTATATTGGTCCGCGACGTCTTGACGATACTGAGCTGCGGCTGGAGAAAGAGATTTTTGGACCTGGTAGTTAATCCATGCTGTTCCTAGTTGCAGGAATCCTGTGAGAACGAGCGCGAAGCTTCCTATGAGAATGACTCTAGATGGAATTCCATTATCGCCAGTCATTGATGGCGCCGACTTGCGCTGTGAGAGCTAGAAGAAGTAGATTGTCAGCATCACATTCGAAATGCATAAAGTCCTCCACGTCGCACCTATCGTCCTCCAGCTTTATTGTGGGTGGTGAGAGAAGAACACGCTTCAAGAGCGCTTCTTTCCATCGCCGTCATCGAGGAAGACAAAATGATGCTTTCAACTTGTGACAACCGGGGGAAAAGACCATGTCCGAAGTTGGTCGACGTTGAAACCTGAGATGACTTCGTGCTTGACGATATAAGCATTAGCGTCTCTAGCGAGCTCGAGCGACCCTATCCTGCTTTGAATAGTCCAGGGGTTCTCCTAAATCGTGCGGGGTCCCACAATTCGCGGGGAGAGCGTGATGCGGGGAAGACGGAAGCAAGGTAGCCGGACTTGCCGGGAACACTTGTGATATTTATGCCACTGGATTCAGACGAAACTCCTCGTTCTCCTTCTCTTCCTCCTTACTCTAATTCGTTTCTTGGAAAGTCCTACCTGAATATGCCTGGAGATCTCTCAAAAGTCGTTGGATTCACGCTTCCCGATAAGCCTGTAAGTATTTACTCTGATTGGAGGCTGGCTTTCACGAGCTAACGCAGGATCCTCGCAGGTATCATGGAACAAGCGCGACTTACTCACTTATGCTGCTGGTGTTGGTGCTAAGGCTGACGAGTTTCCTTTCGTGTATGGTTCGTCTCCCCTCTTATTTCATTACACTCAGAAACTTGGCTGACCGGACAAATAGAACTCGACAAGAATTTCGCCGCCATCCCCACCTACCCCGTCGTGCTCGCGCTCAAGGGCGCCGACCAGGATGTAAACCTCTTCGCTGATCGTATCAAGGGCCGGCCCATCCCCGGCATGCCTCCTGTGGATCCTGGTCGTATTGTAAGCGCTACTGTTCGCATGCTGAAAGTATAAAGTGGCTTATTGGATAATGAATAGGTGCATGCAACCCAATCTATTGAGATCCTCAAAAACCTTCCTCTTGTTAGTGGACCTGGATGGACATGGAAGACGAGGTACACCGGTGTTGTGGAGAACAGTATGTCGTATTTCTGTGTTTTTGTGTGGGAAGTACTAACGAGTGCTGTTTGATAGAGAGTGGTATCATTCTGTTCGCTGAGAACCTCCTCGTTGACCCCAACGGCACCCCCTACGCCAAGCTCTACGCAAGTATTCTTCCTCTACCCCTATATAAGTCGATCTTACCTCATCCCTCACTAGTCATCCTCTTTCAACCTCGGTGCCAAAGCCACTGGCGAGAAATACTCCAACTTCATCGCCGGCCCTCCCAACGGCAAGCCCATCCCCAAAGAGCGCAAAGCCGACTGGGTCGTCACCGAAAAGACCTCCCCGGAACAAGCTATCGTCTTCCGTCTCAGCGGGGACTACAACCCCCTCCACATCGACCCACGCATCGGCAAGTCCGCCGGATTCGGCGGCGTCATCCTGCATGGGCTATCGACGTTTGGCTTTGCCGCGCGTGCAATCATCAAGACTGCTGGTGCTGGCGACCCGAAGACATTGAAGTTGTTCGGTGTGAGGTTCACGGCGCCGGTGAAGCCTGGAGAGACGCTGGAGACAAGTGTGTGGGAGGTCGGCAAGGGACCAAATGGAACGACGGAGGTAGTGTTTGAGACGAAGAATGTGGAGACTGGCAAGGTGGTGCTTGGGCAGGGTGTGGCGTATGTGCTTAAGAAGGGCGGGGAGGCGAAGCTTTGAGAGCTTAGCAAACGAGGGTGGAAGGCGGGAGTATCTATTGCATTAGTGTACAACTTCAAGCATAACCAATTCTTATACATTCACATACGGAAAGCTATCATCAGTACCAGTTCATTCAGTTTCATTAGTGTGTAACATTCGTGGTATACATTATTTGAATTCTTCTAGCTTCCTTCTACATGATTATTAGACTTCACCTCTCTCGATCTTGCCTTTCAACACCCTTCCCCGGTCCATAATCGCATCTGCCTCGAGATAACATCCCTTTAACCACCGATTCGTTTCTCCCGCCTCGCCTTCGTCGCCCTCTAAATCATAAAATGCTGTTCGCGCGTGCAAGACACGTCGATTATCAAAGAGTGCCGCGTCCCCTTCCTTGAGCGTATACTCATACGTATTCTCTGGGTCATTAAGGAGTTCAGAGAACCGCCGGAGGGCGGAGAAGAAGGAAGTGGGCGTGGAGAGTAGGAGGGGTGCTTGGAAGGGTGGGGAATAGTTGATGTGGGATATGGGGCGTTCGAAGTTAGAGGAAGAGGATGAACCGATCTTTGCGAGTTCGATAGTAGGGTGTTCATAGTGCAGATGGTGTCCATCGTTGATGTAGTGGAATGGCACGGGAGTATTGGTGAGGATGTTAAACTCCTCCGGGTGAGTCTTTCGTAGGGTAGACGCAGCATGCAGGGCGTCCACGAAGATAGACGTTCCACCACGCACGCGATTCCGTAGACAATGCAGGATCTGGTACCGCGGTGGATGCTGGAAATACAGCAGGTCCATGTGTAGCCCCAAATCAAGATTGGTATATGCGATGTTCTTGCTCTCGCGGACGTTCTGCACGTCCCATATCTCCCCGTAGAACGTGGGACGGATCTCACCGAATGTGCTGGCGAGCGTGCGTAGCTCGCAGGTGGCATTGGAGGTTTCGGTATTGGGCACGTCCCGGATGAAGAGCAGCCCGGAGGATGAGAGTTGGGTGATGGCGTCTGCGAGTCCTTGTGGGGTTTTGAGGGAGGCATAAGAAATGAAGAGGGACGGTTGAGAGGTGACGAAGTCGCGTGTCCATGGCTGTTGGGAGACATCTTTGTGGAAAGCTGTCAAGTTGCTCAGTGAGGAGTGTCGCTCTAAAAATGCGCGTTCGAAGAAACTCTCATGCCCATCCTCCCATCTAATCCTGAGCCCCCCATCTTCAGTGTGCATCCCATCCTTGGCGGGTCGGATGTCCAAGGGTATGTCAGAGGACCTGAAAAGCTTCTGGCGGTTGGAGGGGTGCACAGATGAAGGGGCTTGACATGCGTCGCGCAACCAGAGATATGGGAAGGTGGT